TCGGAATTTGCTTTACTGAATTCATGCCTGGCCATCTGTTGAGAAATTTGTATATTAAGCAAAACACATTTATTAAAAGCAATTCGCAAATGGTGCTTGTAAATGTGGGTTACAGCCATATAAAGAAAGATTGTTGTTTTGTTACATGGCAGAAATCGTGTATTAAAAAAAAAAGCATTAAGTATTCATCACATGTGAGAAAAAATCAGCAATGTCATTTTGTCATTGACTATTGCGGTAAAAATATTCAATAATGAACATTATGCAAAGCAGGTAGGTCCTATTGTAAAGGGCGTTGTGTAGTCAATTTTCTTCTATTACATTCAAGCCAAAAGTGAAAAAAAAAGACTATCACATGCCAGGTAAATAAATAGATATAATATAATAAATGAAGATGAAGTTTGAAAAAGGTACAATGATTAAATTGTAAGTAAAATGAATCTAAATAAATGTCAACGAAATTGCCGAATGATGTAACTACTCTATGGAATGATAATAGTACAAAATGTTATGAAGTAGGATGGAATGATCCAAAAACTCAAAATAATGAGATAAAGCTACAAGTAAAGTAATGACAACGTCGCCACTTCCATGTGACGAATGTACAAGCAAAGTGATGAAATGATCATATATAAATACTAATAATTAAGTAAAGTGATGGAATGTCCTCGACAAATAAAAAAGAATGTAAAGCAATTGGGAATAATGTAATGCAATTGGTGGAATAATCAGGAAATTGAAAAATGAAAGATAATTCCAATTTGATTTCAGTGAAAATGTAGAGGTAATAAAATGGCAGATATGTATATACAAATGTTAAATTGAATGTATGAAATTAATTTTAAAAGCAAGATATCAGTCTATCTGTCTGTGTGTTGATCAGTTGACATATACAGTGGAAAATAACTGTGAAATTATGATTCTTGTAACAAGTCAAATTGAGTACATAGTCGTTGCTGCCTTCCAGTTAAATACCACATCATGTTCACGTTCGATCACAGGGGCTCCTCGATGATGGCTCCATTTGACATTCGATTTAGGTCCTCAATCTTTAAATCACATCCACAAAACAGCTTGCATTTATATGCGTGATATGCATTATCAAAGAAATGCACACGTGTGAAGATTAAAATTAATGAAATACTCTCATAATATATCGCCAGTAAATTGATAAAAGTACACTACAGAATACCACAATAACAATGATGTCACAAGCAATCTATTTCCGGTTATCACGTGATACACAATTGTCAAAAGGAGCGGAAACAGTTTAGTTGTACTATAATTAACACCACCACCATCACTAGTCATTTCTTCTGCTGTTGAGGTACCTGAAATAAGTGGAAAGAAAGAAGATTTGAGAAGTATCTCAGGGTAAACTCATTTTTGTCATGTTGGTTTTAGGAAATGACTCATTAATATCCTTCAATACATCTCACTAGTGTTGCAAAGAAGCGGTTTCAGATATTGAAAGGATCAAAATATATGAAAGTAACAACCGTCGTCCACACGAGTTGGTCGAGTTTGAAGTGATACTATTTAATTGTGGTCAGACTTTGATTGCATTTCATACATATTGGTTTGATTGTTTTGCTCTTTTATGAACTCTTTTCTGAAATGTATGAGCTCTTTGCAGAAATTGCTCTTTACTAAGTTACGTACCGTGACTAAAAACGTGTTTCAGACTTAAATTGTATTGGTGGGAATGGAATGTAAATTTGGAATGGACAATTGAATCTTGATTAACCACAATGTTGAAACATTGCTTTTGCTGTGCGAGTGTAAAAATTTGGAAATCCCATTTTAAACCAGTAAAGTAAATATTCAATACTGATAAGGTTTGATAAAAAAAAATTGTTTATTCCTACACATTTGAAAAAAAAAATTGCTTAAGGTTTCCAAAACGTCGTGTGTTGATAATTTGTACATGAAAAATATCAGACTAAACATTATAATCCTTCCGCCTGAACTGCTGCAGCATAATAATTATTGTTAAACAGTGGTCTCGGGTTATAGAAATTGCCATGTTCTTCTCAAATCACAGGATAAAAGCCTTGAAGTGCCAACGGCGATTAATTATATAAGATTAAAGTTAAATCCGCTGTACCATTTTAAACCAGAATAAGACGTATTTTCTAATAGGATAGACAGTGTCGGAATCTTCCTGTTAGAATTGTGGAGGATGATATTTCCGTATAAAATACAGATTTAAATTCAAGAACAGTGACGAGATTTAAATTTTTTTTCTGCGAGTAGATTATTGGATTATTGCCCCTTATCCCTTACAAATAGATTCTATGGAGAAATAGTCATTAATATAAATTCAAACGAGGAGAACGCAGACAAAAGGAGAGAATTTATTGTACACAAGATAATTGATACGATCTTTTTTACTGGTGATAAAGAACGGTAGGATGATTGAGATAAATAGTACTTTCTTCATCAAGCATGCCTCTAATAGAACTAAACTTCTTTCAGTCTGTTTTCTGTTTTATGCACGACCTTGAAGACTCCGGATATTGAACCAATACGTTTATAACAGTTCAATATTGTGAATTAGATAGTGAAGAGTGTAGTTCATTAGAATCACCAATCAAAGCGAAAATGGTGCTATTGTAATTGTCATCGGTGAGCAGTAGGCATTTATCTGTAATTGTAATTCGGTATGCCATCTCAAATACAGCACATTTTTTTTATGAAAAGAAATAGTTATAGTCAAAAAATATTTAACAAAGATTCCAGAGACAATATTGACACCACCCTTACATAACAAATGAAAGTTTAGAAGAAATATATCATAACAATGATGATTGTTATTTCAATACTTTAATTCCACGTTAGACTATGTTTTGGTCTATAGAGTATTAAAATATTATGAAATATTGGTTCAAATTCTCATCGTTGGCACGTCTCAGACTGAAGAAGAGTCCAGACTCTATTTAAATGATATTTGGACAGTCTTATGGGTAATTGACTAAGATTTTGGAGAGTCAACAGGGATTAATAGTTGATATGATTCAATATTAAGCAGACTTTTAGCTTATTGACTTCTTCATACTGGTCAAATTTTCTTATTTCCATATTACCGATTTATTAATTATATTCTAATGTGGAAAAGTTCAATCTATCGTAATAAAATTACATTTTCTATGTCAATTTTAATCAGCATTATAAATTGAATCACTTGGTACTCATTCTCGTCAACTAGCCAGTAATCTAGTTAGACTGGTCTCTCTGGAGCCATCCCCGGGGAAATAAACACACACTTATCCACAAGGGCGTATCATTTTCACGCTTTATTATGAGCGTTTCGTGCTTTCGACAACTCTGGGTGCAATTTCATCGTCTAGACCTCTGGTAATATCTACAAATTCAATCTTAAAGCCATTTGTAAAATGGATAGATTTGTTCTTTAGGCCACAATTGAACACAAGCTCTATTCATGATCAAACAATTGGCTAATGCAGACTTCTTTTATTAAAGCATGTACCAGTTTATTTCATAATCGTATTGGGTAATGTTAGCCATGGGGTCTGTGCTGATACTTAGTAATTCTCCGGCATTTTATTTGGTAATCGGATGGACAGCTAGTTTCATTTTGGGCATAAATATTGATACCTCACAGTTAAAATAGTTTTATACCTCCACACAGTGGAAAATTCGAATATATTAGATTTCGTGATGAGACGTGTACAGTTCAGTCTGAGAACGTTTTCTCAGGCATCAGTTACAGCTTCCTTAAATGTACCATTATTTCAAGTATATGGCTTTCGATGAACTTTGAAAACTCAGGGCAGTATGACACAATGATTCACTGACTACAATGCCATTCTGTCTTTGGGGGCACCGAAACTTAAAGCCTGTTGATAAGCTGGCATACTCACAGGCTACCAACGCAATAGACAATAGCAAATATCATTTAATAATACTTGTGTGTTGGGAAAGTTAGGCGCTATATCAATTTGCTTTATTGTAGATTATAATACTCGAGAGGGATGAACAGACACACTGTTCGAATATAACAGAACGTACTTACCACGTTTTACATTCGGAGATCCAGCTGGAAAAAAGACAAGTAATATTAATATAATAATTTTAAACATCGCGGTGTTAAAAATTAGTGGGCAGCTCATGAAAATATCAAAGTTCGTACCATTTTACTAATGTTATCACAAACACTGGTCTAAGTTCGCGATTTCTGCCAGTCTGAAAATTCAAAATAGGCTTAGTAGGACAACTTCGGCCACGTTTTTGATTGAAACGTCTACTTTGATAGAAGCGTGTGTTAGATAACTGGACAGTAACAGAAGTACATTTTTCTCTTTCAGATAGTGAATATTTATGTATGAAGTATTTTAATGTAACAAATAGTAATAGTTCTAGTATTGACCAGATACATTTTTCATTTTAAATCAACTGTCAAAGCCAAAGATATTGGAAAATGATGTTCATATATTCTCGTCTGTCTTGTAGACATCCTTTACGTTCCCTGACCTGAATATCTCATAAAACAGACAGAATGTTTCATTCAATTGACTTTCACATCAAACTTGTAAATTAAATTTCTGACAGTAGTCGTATAATCCTTAAGAATGGCTTTTATCAAAATGTTTCAAATTGACACGAGTTGTTTAAACATTGGAACCTCGTATCCTGAATTATTCAGATCAATTTTTTACGGCTTCCTCTAGTGTAAAATTACCAAGTTTTTGCCAAGAAATTTTGAAACGACAATTCAAATGAACAATCAAAGACATTTTTTCCTCATGTGTTTCCATAGAAACTAATTTAAAATCAAAATAGAAACATATAAGTGTTGTGATTGTCTGGTAAAATTAGCCTGTAAGAATACATCATTTTTTTATAATACATATTTAAATTGTTTCTCATTTTCCAAAATTTAATTTGTTAAGAAAGGTCATTAACGTAGAAATCTCTCAATAAGCTATACAAAATATATGTAAATATAATTTTTGTTGTGTTCCTTTTCTGATTTTGTGTTAAAACATCAAAATTAGAACGAGTGCTTTCAAGACAAACAATCTAATCAATGCTCGCAAACTAGGCAGCATTAAAAGTTTTAACATTACATGTATAAAACCTGTCGATAGATGAAGATAAATAAAACTGATTCGAAGATAAATTTGCTTACCATTTAAGATATGAACTTTAACACTTGTGGTATCTAATTCACTACTTCTACACACGTAAGTTCCTGCATCGCTCATTTGACTGTGTTTTAACACTAAGACACTAGCTAAGGTTTTTGTCGCTGAGAACTTATATTTGTTTAAAGTTATTTTTTGATGCGCATCCGGAGATAATTTGATACCATCTTTAAACCAGTCTAAGTTATCTGGAGGCTGTGTGGCACCTGATGCATTGCATACTAAATGAACTGGATCACCTTTCTCCACAAACTGTGTTCCAGATACAAAAATTGCTGAAAAAACAATAGAAGTACAAAACAATAACCCATGAGGCTAAACTTAGGACTAGTGGTATTTGATCATGGCAAAAGGAACTAATAATATCTGATCATGACAGTACGAACTAATGATATCTGATCATGACAATAAGATCTAATGATATCTGACAATAAGAACTAATGGTATCTAATAATGGCAATAAGAACTAATGGTATTTGATTATGACAATAAGAACTAATGGTATCTGATCATGACAGAAAGGACAAGTGGTATTTGATCATGGCAATAAGAACTAATAATATCTGATCATGACAATAAGAACTAATGATATCTGACAATAAGAACTAATGGTATCTAATAATGGCAATAAGAAATAATGGTATCTGATAATGACAATAAGAACTAATGGTATCTGATCATGACAGAAAGGACTAGCGGTATTTGATCATGGCAATAAGAACTAATAATATCTGATCATGACAATAAGAACTAATGATATCTGATCATGACAATAAGAACTAATGATATCTGACAATAAGAACTAATGGTATCTAATAATGGCAATAAGAACTAATGGTATCTGATCATGACAATAAGAACTAATGGTATCTGATAATGATATCTTATCATGACAAAAGTCCTAATGGTATCTGATCATGACAGAAAGGACTAGTGGTATTTGATCATGGCAATAAGTATCTGGTCACGATAATAAATTTAGTGATATCTGATAACGGCCATATGGACTGGATATGATATCAAATTATGGCGATGGATGATGAACAGGGGCATCCTCAAACATTCTTTGTAATGAATGATTTTTAAAGAGATTGGATAGTAGGATTACGCAAGTAATTTTTTTAACTATAAAATTGTCGTAAATACATTTCTTGCAAAGTATAACATTGTACTGTGATAAAACATTTTCAAATCATTACAAATATGTTTTGATCGGATTCGTTCGGTAGACTAGAAATTTAACCCCACTTAAAACGATCAGTCGTAATATTGACTATGTAATGGGTATTGAATTATACGAGAAACATGTAATCATTATAATTGCTATTCCAAACAATTATTTCTGTTTTCATTGATTGTAGAGAACTTTGTTTTATTAATTCAAAACACCATTTCCATTCATATGTCACCATACAAAGAATTAAACACGTGAGGTCAGCGAACTCCGCGAAGGGAAATCAATTAGTTGATTGTGCAATGGAGAAATGATGCATGATCATTTACAATACAATAATCCAATATGGCTACCACTGTAAATTTTAAGTACTACCAAGGGATTGCATGTGCCATTGATTCCATGTCAATTGAATGTTGGATGGTGTGAAATGTATAATGTTGCATTACTTTACAAAAAACATTTTCAGACGCCGACTAAATTGACTTTAACTTACTTGGTGACGTGTGTAATGGTTTATCTGAAATTGAAAAAAAGTAAAAGATATTATTGGTATATTATGCAATGTTATAATGTTTATATTCTTTCTCTGGGCTCATACGACTGTCTGTGTTAGTACATTTATGGTCTCTGCGGAACTTTCTTAAATATATCTTACAGTCACATTTGTAGGAAAACTATGTAGCTAAATGACTCTATTGTCTTCAAAAAAGCTCTTGGGAGTTGAACGGGTTTGGTATCGTTAAGGTAGGTTAGGCAATTCTTGAAGAATAGAGAATTGTTTCGCTGAGCTTGCTGTCTAATTATCACTATTTGCATCATTAAAAAGAATATTCGTCATAATAAAACAAGTGCAAAGAAATCGTTATTTATTAACAGTTTGAAATACGATTTACTGAAAACCATCTTCATTTCAGGTCTTCAGAAACTTAGAAAGGAGGAGTGGGAGGATATCAATAAATAGAAATATAAAGATTATTGTGAAATTATAAACAATTCTCTCCCAACAGCAAAATAATCATAACTACTGTTTATTATCAATAAATTTTCCTTCTTATGAATAATTTCGTTCTCATAAAATATATTTATCCATATCATGAAGCAAGTGTCTACTCATTCTTTTCGTAAAGGAATCTCTGTCGTTCGGTACTAATTCAAACTCTTTTCACCCGTCGATGGTGCAGGTTGGTGGGGATGGCATTGAGAACACGTTTCAAATCGTTTAACCACTTTTAACAGTATATTGATTGGTATACAAAGTTTTGTCAATGCTATTGTGAACATTTCACAGAACGCGATTTCAGGAAAAATCGTGTCAGATTATATATGGGATACGTAGAAACCTGCAGAAAAACATGAAAGGAAACGTCTATATTTTAATCCGATGAATAATTAACAAGATGTTGGCATACATTTATAGAAACAGAGAAAAAGCGTGCAAGTTGTCGGTATTGAATGGATTCTTAATTGTAAAAGTTTAATCTTGATTCTATTTTAGTTTTCTGTCCAATTAAATAATTAACCCAGTAACATACATTACTATAAATATATAATAAGTACAGATCAGATCCGAATTGAATTGGTAGTCACTCAGTAGTTCACAATGCATTTTAATTTCAACCATTCATGTACTTGAATTCTGAGGATGCAGGTCGAACCGTATTGTGAACAACAAGGTGTAAGAAACTAGCGTATTCATGCAAGGTGCTAAGAAACAGCCTCTAAACAATACAGTTTATCTGAATAATCAACTAAATAAATAAAGAAGCTTAGAAAATAATCTTTAAGTTGAATTAATGGCAGGAAACATGCAAGCAATGGAATTGCAGAATGACCAAGCATTATACAATTTATATATACTATAGACTTGGGTGCAATTTACTAGACAGAAAAAGCCGTGCTTATATACATATTCATTTCAAGCAAAAAAGATAACAGTAATTGCAATATAGTTATTTCTATACAAATTGTATCTTCACTAGGTCAAGCTACTACGAACTTCGTATTAAACCTTGACTGCAATAGTCACCTTACCTGTTTGTATGGCGTAAGTTTGTCAAGGCAGCGATTGGGATGGATTATTCGTTAACGAATACAGCCAATCAGAGACCTCGACAGAAAGTTAGTAAACAATAAGCCAAAGTACTGGTGGCTGTCGAGAGCTCTAGTTGAATCGTTGCATTCCGTAATATATGAAAGGTCGCTATTGTAGTCAATGTATAAGACGAAATTCATAATAGCTTGACACTGTAAAGATATACAGTTATAGATAGCGATAATTTACCTTTACTATAGCCACTTTTACTAACTCCTTTTGTTTCTAAATATATAATTAATGAAAAATGAAATAACTGAAAACCAACTCGTAATTATATTTATTATAAATTGTATCAACATTAATCAAAATAATGATAGTTATTGTTATTTAACAAATATATAAAAAATAATCAAATCAAAGACTACCCATAATTATATCCTATCACTTCCTTATCATAAATAAAAGATTTTCACAACAATTTAGTTTTTGGTAGACTAATGTAAAATAGTTCAGATTCATTTTTTCATACATTGTCACTTTGCAAGAAAGAATCTTTTATGGACCCCATTGGAAATAAGCTAATGAAGCTATTCACTCAAGCTTTAGGGGTTATCCTTAAGACGAATTTTATCACGACTTCAATCATTTCATATTTCTATGTATTCTGACTTTCTTTTTTATACATTTCTGTTCCGTACCCACACTGTATTTTCTCCACATGTCATAAATCAAAATTTTCTTACAATAAAAAAAGAAAAGAAGAAAAGGAGCGTTTCTTTTCTTCTGCGAGAAAATCCTTACTTTCAGATCTGTGCCTTACGATACTTCATATTCTATGAAGTGGTAATATGTCAAATAGACTATCTGATTTGAGTCTGCTGTCGGGAATATAAAGAGAACTGTTATGCCAACATTCATCATTCGGAATTATTGAATTTTTCTCGATAATAATTCCTTAATTTAAAAACCTTTTGGTTCGAAATAAGCATAACTTCCACGCTATAGAACGGTAACCTCTTCAGTAATTCACCATGACATGTAGATAATCTCTAATGAGTTTGGAGTTTATTCTACAGTTGACCGTTGTCTTGTTCCGTTTAGTAACGGTTTTTGGACAGACGGGATAAGTATAGTTCAATAGTGAAAGGGTCACATGAGAATCATTACTTTACAATGTCCATGGAAACAGAATTTATATAATCCTCATCGTTCCTGAGTAAATTAGTTAACGTAACCTTCAGTGTTTATTATTGTCAAAACCTAGTTAACCTTCAGCGTATCTGATTGTCAAAGCCTAGTTAACCTTCAGCGTATCTGATTGTCAAAACCTAGTTAACCTTCAGCGTATCTGATTATTAAAGCCTAGTAAACCATCAGTGTTTATTATTGGCAAAACTATCTTAACCTTCAGCGTATCTGATTGTTAAAACCTAGTTAACCTTCAGCGTATCTGATTGTCAAAGCCTAGTTAACCTTCAGCGTATCTGATGGTCAAAGCCTAGTTAACCTTCAGCGTATCTGATTGCTAAAGCCTAGTGTTTATTATTGGCAAAACCAAGTAAATCTTCATCATTTCTGAAGACCGTACTGTTAACCTTGAGCGTTCTGATTGTCAAGATCTTACTGTCAACAGCCAATGTTTCTGATTGCCAAAAAACAAATGAACCGCCAGTGTTTCTGATTGTCGCATGATAGTTAATAGAATTAAGTTACGTGCTCGACAACTGTTAAATTGAATTTAAAAAAAAATACTCACTATTTACACGTAATAAAATAAGTCGGGTTAATTTTTTTCTGGCACTGACTTGACATTCATATACACCAGAATCTTTAGGCTGGACATTTTTAATTAATAAATTCCATTCTTTTTTATCTGGTAATTTTTGAATAGCCATTCTGGGATCGGGTATGAATTGTAAGTCACCTATGATTATCGGGTTAGGATCTGACGCTCTTCTCCATATAACCTGGAATATGTCAAAACAAAATTAATATTAGATGCTTACACCAAACTACTGAGAATACGTAGATGATATTTATAATGTATTTTAGACATTATACCTTCGACTGGAATCTTTAAGGCGTTAATATAATATATAAGGATTCCGGATTGTGTTCACTAGAAACCCATTAGTTCCTTAATATTCCCATAGCCTAACGATCTAAGCAAAAGAAATAATGCATATATTCATGAATTGTGTTTATTATTATAAAAGTTAAATTTCTGCTGAATTCACTAATAAAGTTTTCTTAAAATACCAGACTTCTAGCAAACTTGACTGTACCAAGACGATTAGAGAATAAAAGATACAATTGAGAATACCCAATAAGAGTATTGATGTAGTGATTGTCAGATACAATCTCACTGATGATACCATTACAATGGTTTTGATAATTATACGGGACAAGGAGGTGGGGGTTAATTCATAATTAACTGTGTAGACGGCTGGCTTTATTCTCATTAGTTCTTCAATTTTATTGGGAAAACCACAAACATAATAACAAAACTGTTCGTAGTCACCAACCTTACAGAACATGTGGTATTGGAACTATTAACTTCAAAATATTTATTTAGAAATTTCCTATTCTGATAATCTTCATTCACTGATCCAATTTTCAACTTAGCTTAACATCTTTACTAAAAGTCTCCTTCATCGAGATGTTTTAATGAATTATCCAATAAGTTTTGTCGGCATTTATAAATTGTTAAAATATCTAATTACATAATAATTATTATTCCAGGTTCATTTGCAGTAACTTCTGAAGAGATAACAAGGTTAGTCCTTCTATGGGAACAAATTTACCTCTATATGATTAATATTTCCACCTCCTTTTAACTGGCCTCTGTAGTCCGAATCAAAGCTTTTCTCATTGTTAACAGTAAACTTGAGGACTGTTTTAAAGCTTAACAGTCTAGTAAGATAACTTTTCTGACTAGATGTAATAAATCCATTATCATATCCAAAGCTAATTGAGATTATTCCTATATCACATAATTAGATGTGTCCTCGGCTATTAGTACTAAAGTATAACACAAAATAGATTGCATTCAGCAAAGTGCAAAAAAGTAAGATGTGAATCTCGCATTAATTTTATGTTCAGATCGAATCGGAGTGTGTCATCTCTATAGAGATCATTTTTTTCGTAGTCTTTTCATTAAATCTTGACTTTAACTTTGTTCAATCTTTGCATTTCTTTTACAATTTGAAACAAAAAAATGACAGGAATGATCAAAGAAATGTCGGACGCAAGCAACACGTTGTGCCAGTAGATAGATGACCCAGTCAAAGCAATTATCTTAGAAAGTGTATCTTTGTAAAAATATAAAGAGAATAATAACATCGCAGAGAAAACTAGGTTGAATACAAATGAACTTTATATCGACTTTCCCAAGATAAAAAGAACGAGTAACACATAAACGCATAATCCTTTCTAGGTTTATATTCAATAAATGTTACTTAAAACTAAGAGATATGGGAACATTCAGGCATAAATCTGAATGATTCTATCAGTTATAAAGAATGTAGGTCAAACAAGGTGAAACAAGTCAATATGGGATTAGCAGACATTCTTGAGAAATTCCAGACGTGTCTCACTGGAGACTTTCTAGGTTCAAGAATATTTTCCTGTCGAGCGAAAAAGGCACATAAAACTTTCAGACGATTGCTGTTCTGGTTCGAGTAGATTTCAACAATATACATACCAAGTTCCATCTTTAGTTTTATTGTCTGTAGTTTTCATCGTGCTAGCAAGAAATATGTCAACAAGAATAGTTAAACGACCGTGGCGACGGCAATATACATCCTTATTTTAATTAAGGCGTAATTTGCACAGTAAAACCCGCAGCACTACCTGAATAAATGACCCAGTGGTTTCATGTAAGGGTCAATAACTAGAGCTGTCTTGTTTTAACTTATCAGAGGTCCATATCATCTGAAGATTGATCATTTTGTCTGAGAATGCTAGTGTAATTTGTAACAAAGCGTGTTTAATTACAATATAGATGTATTTTGAGACAATTTAAAAACCTGTAAATTACCACTGACATTTCAGACTATTACAAGTTCTCTGATCAAAGAAGAAACAAACATTAAACGACAGAAAAACATTTCCAATCTTTCTTTTAGTCTCGATGTCGGGTTCATGTAGTTTTCTCTTATTTCAATACAAAGTAATTAATTTGTTATCAACTACAAAGGTCGGTTTGTCTGATGACCTACTTGACTGGACAATTGGCCTGCAGTAAGAATTGGACTGTTGCTCTTTCCAGTACCAATAGGCTTGGTTGATAAACAATGCTGAAGGCATGTCTGTATTTGACAATAATACAAATGACCAGCATGTATCTTCGTGGTAATTACAATCTACCAATCTTATAGAATAAATGTTTTGATTAAACGTCTGAAAGGTCATCAGTTTGAAGCTATTTTTGATGACCAGCATATTTTCCTTACTGGAAGGCTTGTTTGGACACTGTTCGCTATAAATTGATTTAATTAAATTTGCTGAGCTGATTACTGGTAAATAGAATGTTCACAGTATATTACAAAGATGTACAAAAAAGTTTCTTACCGTTTTTGTTCCCAGATTTTCAATAGCACACACTAACACAGCAGTTTCTCCTCTATGGAAAGTCACATTATTGGGTCGTTTTATAAAATAAGGCATGTTGGCGGAATGGCGTGTTTCTACTGTATATGCTGAAAGAATAAAATACCAAAATCTTTATAAAAAAAACTGTAGAATTCACAATAAATTAATGTTTTAGCAAAAAGTAATGTAATCAATATATATAAGCTACGTCAGACATCAGCTCTGTTAAGTGGTAACCACTGTGTATTTTTAAAATTATAAATTCTGACTGAAGGAGGTATTAACATGTATTTGTATTATGGAAATCAAGCTCCAATGCAATCTTTGATGGTTCACCTCTATAGCAATAAAAGGGATGTGATGCTGACAAAGCCAGTGGCTTAAGATGTGCTATATAAAACTCCTTCAAGCTACAAAAGGAATTTACAAGCATATCCTATGTAAAGCACGCATAGGAAATATATTCTTTGTGTTTAGATGCCCGTTTAATGTTTTATAGCTCAAAGGTAGCAAAACGCTGTCTTTTATATAATGCTTTCAGTTTCCATATACCACATAACAAGTCCAAATTGAATTTCATTTACTCAGACAATACTTTTAACCCAGACATCACTTTTTTCACTGTAGCAGTTCCCCATGGAATTGGTCATTCGATTTTAATCATAGAAAATCTGCCAGAATTGTGATTTTCGTATGTCACAAAAGGCCGAATTTGTCAAAATTAATTTAGTTATCCTTCGTTTCTGGCTTCCTTGGGATTTATACTCGAGAACAACAAAATAGAGACGTTTTTAGCCAGTTTAATTCTGTAATTCTATTGTCGATAGAAGAATCGTAAATTTTCTCACCTTCAACGTGAAGCTATAAGTCGATAGTCAGAGTGGAGTCACAAATTGGCAAGAAATCAACAGGCCTCTTAATGTTGGTCATATTGAATTACAAGTAACTGTACACCACTAATATTTAGAAATCTTTAAGATTTGTCGATGGTTTGCTGTCTATCAACAATTGTATGATCGAAGATTGGGAGACAAGCAGGCATCGATGATAATAAAAAGGTCGAGAAGTATTTTGTTAGTAATTTAGAAAACTATATATTTTGTATGAAATGATAGATGATGTTTTGATGAAAATAAATAAAGGTCTAGTTTCTTGATTATTCATTTGTCATGTTAAATATTTTGATTCCTTCATCGATCAGTGTACAGATAGTAAAATGGTCTTTCACAATAATATATATTATAGTCTAAACGCATTTCGTCTTATTCCGAATCTCAATTTCTGTCTCAGAAGTCCAAAAATTATCATTAAACCCCATCAACTGGCTTAAAGGATTTATACCCAAAACAGATGTCGACAGTTTGAGATGCAATTTTCCATAGAAAACGGTCATTATCAAATCACCAATAGATATCGGGACGTCGTTTTGAGATAAGATTTGAACAACCTTTAGAAACAGAGAGCACATAAAACAAAAACACATATATTATGGTATAACACACATCTTTAATAACAAAGTCTATATATACTATATATTATGTGATATGAGACATGTTTTTGTCCTTATATAGCTGCCTACTGGGTAAGGGAGGGCGAAGAAAAATGTTGCTGGTCGTATGATGGTTGGGACGATTGCTGGGACTTGTTTATGTGGCTCACAGCTACCATGCCATATTTTCTTTCTATGAGCTAAATGGACATCATAATGTTAATGCATAAGATGAGCTCTTTCCAATTAAGACATGGTTCTTCATAAAACAAAAGTTGTGTCGTGTGCTTCTCTGAATAATATGCGTGTTCTGTTCACATCGTCGTGATCCTTGGAATACGTTGATTCTCCAATTTTATGTATGACTTTATGCTGAATACCAAATACTGATGATTATTTTCTGCCGACTTGATACGATTTATTTGGTTCACTTGTTCCATTATTCAATTGTCAGATACTTCTTTATCTTCCCTTCGCATGTCAACAGAATTGTAGAGAAGACCAGTGATGGTTTATTATGTTGTAGAAGATAAGAAGTAAGTAATTATTGGGATGTCCGTATAGAAATGAAACGGAGACTTTGATCCTTAGGCTCTCTTTGGGTGATAGCATAATGCCGTGTACAATGAGGGAAACTTCTGTATCACAGCCTAACTAGTTTATAGTTTCACTGCAGGAGCAATCGGGTTTGAAAATCGAAAGCTGGAAGCCTAACTATTTGATTCTGCTTGTAGCACTTTCCTCAATGACTTGGCTGAATAATTATTTGTGTTAATAAGAGCAGAGTGACTACATAGATCTATATTCAGCTGGAATTTGATATTCCCAATTATATTATATTATAAATAATAATGAAAAATGTGTCAGATGTCATATATAATATTCAACTGACCATATTAATCAAATTGAAAACACCAATATCATTTCGTGTGCCACTTCATTATTTTCCTAAAATGGCCCCAAAACAAATTGTTGGAATGAAGCGAAGATGATTTCTAATTACACGTTTCCTTTCCCCCGGGACTAACAACTTCAACGTCTAGCCTACTACAGGATTGTATTGTGAAGGAATTCGTATGATTTACTAATAAGCTCATACTTAAAAGCCCGTAATTAAATCTCCTCCAACTCCTTCAAATTCTATACAAAACATTCGATAATTGAGAGACTATTAAGCTACAGATTTTTCTAGCACTTAGTCAAGTGACTGTAATTTAGAGTGAATTAAGCAACTCGCTTTAAGGTGTTATTTTCTATTGTCACAAAAATTGTGTATTTTTTTTAACTTAGCGGAACGCTCCAGGCGCCATATTTTTATGAAACATGATGATTAAAGGCTAATTGTGGGAATAATGAGATGAGTAATGGCACTGTTCCTAAAATATTCTATAATTTACTGGGATTGTGGAAGAAATATCATGTAGGAGTGGGATATACCGCGTGAGCTAAGGTGAAAATTTTAAATTTCCTGGTACATGTATAATAATAGTTTCAATGAAAAACTCTTGCTTTCATTGCATTTAAAGCTTTCAAGAGTTAAGTGGTTAGATTTAAAACGTCCTTGTATAACGAAAATGTCACCGTAATTGGTGTAGAGAATGTTAATAATTTCAGAAAGAAGATAAAAAATTCGCTTAATGGAGGAGCATTAAAATGATGCAATAATAACTGCCTTTTTGGGCACATGGCGAAAAGCAGATGTTAAGAGTAATTGGTCGTGCAGCGACTCGATCCTCGTTGAATCATTGCGGAGGATCTGATAAATCTTTAGAAGAAAGACTGACTTTCTAATTTGCCGCCAGTTTCCATAAATTCATCATGTCATATTTTTTAAAATAGAAATCCACGAACATACAGCTGATAGCGCAATTGTTAACAATCAGTTAGTGGCAATCATACAGATGGTAAATTGATATTGCCATTTAGTTGGCAATCGGAAAGGGTTCAAAGTCTCAGGTGGATTGATTGCTATAACTGTTATTCTGTTCTCCAGTAAGACATCAAGAACGATAATCAAAATGTTATCAATACCAGAGTTATCTCTTATTTCAATTTAATCTGCGAGAGTTAAAGATTACGATCTGCTGTAAGATATAAAATAAATGAAGATTTATATATATTTTACTCAGTAATTGACATAAATCACTTTTATTGTATCGCATCTCTGTTGAATTGAAGGATTTAAAGATATCGAATGGGACAGGGATTTCACCATAAAGATAGATTCCTACTGAGAACTATTAAGAAACGTTAGAAACGTGTCTGTGGAGAGACAATTTACTATCTAAACTGATTGTCTGATGATAAGCTATTGAAACCTTGGACTTGACCAATCTAATTATGATGACATTGTGCTTCTCAATGCTTACTGTTGATGGTATTAGTTGCAGTGAATGATTCCCAAGATAACGCGTATATTAGATTTCTAAATACTATTGTGTAATAATACTGAAAGAAAGATCGGTATCTAATAGGCTAATATGATTAATAATGAGAGGATGAAATAATGAAGTCGTTATTTAGAGTGCACTCTCCGCAATCTCAATCATTTTCAATTAATAATTGATAAATCTTATGGTAATCTTCAAAGGGTGACACAACCACGCATTTTACGTAATGGTTTAATTACAGTTCAAAAACTGTTTTCCTATTCAACCAGTTTGTGTAAACGAGCCATCCTAAATGTTCAGCCGGAAATAACACACATAAAATATAATATTATCGTATATTTCTTTGTGTACTGAGGACACTGACAGCTTCCATTTGCACTAATAAATAATAAACTGGTAGTGTAAGACTATTTGAAGACTCACACCCACTCGATCTAAACTGTGAGTTCATCTAAAGAGCATCTCTGAGATATAATGAGCAACAAATCTACTTACCCCTCAGTTTATGATATGGTTATTGATATGGTCGGTTATTATAAAGCTCGTTGTATTGAAAGTAAATGTGAATTCTTACTTTCCATGGACCATTTGAGAATTAATGGCTGAACTGTACTGTTATACATACACATCAAGTTATTTATACGAAAGATGACGGCGACATATTCTTGAGAGGCTAGTAAATCTATTCAGTTTTACTTCAGGAATCAAAGAAATTACCAGAATTATAACTGTAAATTTCAGACATTACCCTTGGGAGACTGAATTTCAACACCATGTCTACCAAGTGCTGAAATCGCCCTTTGGACTAGGTTGTCAATTATGTTGAATTAATTTATACTTACTGCATATAACCGGTATACGGAAGTAATTTAGAGTATGGTTCACTGGATTCACACTCTGGATAGTGGATGGAAATAATGTGAATGTAGGGAAAATTTTACACCCAAAGAAAAATGGTCGTAAGGTTAATCAGTAAATCAAGTTGGAAGCCATTTGTAGTCCAGTTCAACTGACAACCGGTGCTTCTACATTAAAATCATACTGGACGAAGATCAGCTAATCAAATCACTAATTGCCAGTGATATGGACATGAGTCTATGTACAGTAATGGAGGAGGAAATATCTCGAGACAATTTCTGCTATCATTAGCCATTTATTCTAGAAGAATTGTAATTAACTGTGCGAGTCATTGACAG